ATCTATGCCCTTGCACTTTGCTGCCCCCTTTTTGATTTACTTTTATTGACATGAATGAGGTGACTGAGGGTGACAACGTCCAATGGAAGATGGATGGAAACCCCATGGTTAATGGTTGAGGTTCATTAATAACACACATTATACACGCTGTCGTTAGTATCCAGCATTCACAATGACAGAGATTTGTCACAGTTGTCAATACTCATTTTTTTGAATGCTAGAAAACCACACTTTGGATACTATGGCACAATGTAAGATGGGTCAATCCATCTGAAGTGGTCCAATGGAGGTTGCTTGAGCATTTTTAATTTTCCAAATGATTCAAAAAAAGAGGTCAACTTGAACCCTTCCCATTATAAACTGACCCTGCAAGTGGAACTTTGAGCGATCTTGATCATTAAATGTGGACTTAAGTTGTAGTTCTAAGGAACAAAAATGTGCAAAATATTCCTACTCGTACATGTACCTTGAAATGTGCTCAAGAGATCAGCTTGTGTTTCAAGGAACTAGTGCTAACCCAGGACTGACCCAGATGCTACAGTGAAAGTTTGCAATAACTTTACTTCTGTCAAGACCACTATCGTCAAAATGATAGATACTTAGCATAAAGTTTGATTTGGCGGTATGGTTCTGTTCTGGGCAAAAACCTCCCTGTCCATCCATGCAGCCTGTCATGAATGAGCAGGGAGAGCAGCAATAATAACCCCCCTAGGGTTAACAGAACAGAACAAGGCAGATATCATTAATGTACTTGAAAAGCTGCTGAATAATACTAAATAGAGCTTATATAGGAATGGTAGGTGTCGTATTCCTATAGGTAGATGTGATCAGCTGAGAATCAGCTGATGCAAGCTTGACTCACGTGACCTGCCAGAACTAACGCTAACGTTTAATTTGTTAATTGAAAAATGTTATCTAATTAAATACATGCATTTTAAAGTATATATGCAGGGAACTGGAAGTAAACATCAAATGACTTCCAACAGTCACTTGAACATACTATACAGGTGCATCTCAATAGATTAGAATGTCGTGGAAAATTTCATTTATTTCAGTAATTCAATGTTAACATGCTTGGATACAGCACTCTGTGAACAGCCAGCTTCTTTGGCAATGAATGTTTGTGGCTTACCCTCCTTGTGAAGGGTGTCAATGATTGTCTTCTGGACAACTGTCAGATCAGCAGTCTTCCCCATGATTGTGTAGCCTAGTGAACCAAACTGAGAAACCATTTTGAAGGCTCAGGAAACCTTTGCAGGTGTTTTGAGTTGATTAGCTGATTGGCATGTCACCATATTCTAATTTGTTGAGATAGTGAATTGGTGGGTTTTTGTTAAATGTGAGACAAAATCATCAAAATTAAAAGAACCAAAGACTTAAACTACTTCAGTCTGTGTGCATTGAATTTATTTAGTACACGAGTTTCACAATTTGAGTCGAATTACTGAAATAAATGAACTTTTCCACGACATTCTAATTTATTGAAATGCACCTGTACATTCAATCATTCATCCTTGTTTCCTCTTTTGACCCACTAGATAAGCTCTTCAAGCAGACTACACAGTGTTCAAAGACAGATAAAGTTGTTCTTCATGAGGATTTTTTAAACTTTCATGGGTGTATGGATTCTTTAAGGGTGGAATAAAAGAGAATGCGTACAACACGCAAGCCATTATCAGTGTTTACCAAGCCAATGAAGGCACCACAGGGATGGTCTTTATGAGGATTAGAAATCTGCCCCGCGGTCCCCAACTGTGTGCGCTGCATAGTAATGCTAATGCTAATTGTGCAGGACAAACTGTTAAGCCTCTCTGCTCTATGAGTGGCTTCTTGATGAAATGGCAATTGACACTGGGGTGAGTCAACCATACTGGTGTCTCTCATCCAGTACTGCTATTATACAAATGTGACAGGCCAAATGTGATGGCAAATGCTAAAGCATGAAGCTAGCAGTACCAAAGTCATAGGTTTGATTCCCAGGAAGTTGTTTAATGCATAAATAAATCAAAAAAATATCAACAGACAATCTAAAGTATATAAAAGAAATATCAAGGTAACAGAATCACACTATATTGATATTATATGAGCACAGCTGTAATTTTTATGTGCATGACAATATCTTGTTTTTGCTGGCAACAACAACAAATAAACTGCTAATTCTGATTAAATGCCAATTGCAACAAAAGGAAAATCTCAAAAGAAAATGTCTGGCATAAAACCGGTCTAAATCTATCCTACTGTGCGGTTGTTACCTGGAGAAGCAACATTATGAGTCAGATATCAAAGACTACGGGGACTATGAGTGAGTATGTCTTCACTCTGTTAACACAGATGGGACTTTCTCATCCTAACTTCGCAGATAAATGGGACAAAACAAATAGCGCCGTTCCAAAAGCACTCAAACATACTGTGTTAGCATGAGGCTTCACAATGGATTCAAAAATAATTGTCTCCCAGAAGACCCTGCATTGGCTTGACTTCACCACACAAGCGTTTGGAGAGAGAAAGTCCTTCAAACTGCCTCCGAAAATTAGATACAAAGCTCTTCTACTGCCAACAGGACTGTGTTCCCATTGTACTGAATTCTCACAGAAGAGTGGAGAGGACACTCCACTGTGTTGTAGAGTTTTAGAGAGAGGGCTTTGTTGGAATGACAGAGAGGCTAAAACACAACCAGTTCTGATCTTTGTAGACCAGATTAGGATAGAAAATGCAGACCAGACGGAATATGTATGGTGAAACAACAGAAATGGCTGGCATGCCAAAGAAACATGCAATGCAACCTACTATCAACCGTTTTTATAAATCAAAACTAAACACAAACACCTCAAAAGAACAAGTTGCCAGTTTAAACCAGCCCGAAATGGGCCGTATATCTAAAATATACATTAATAAATCATAATCAAATCAAAACAAAATCTAATGGCAAGCTTGTTGTGAATTGGAATAAAATCAAATGTGCAATTTACACTACTGAAGAAATAAGAGAAAATAATCAAATTACATTAAGTATCTTTAACATACACTGTATTATCTGACAAAAATTGATTTATGCATTTTTTTAATATATAATTTTTTTATATAGTTTTTCCTTCATAAATTACTATATAATGACGTATACAAGTAATAAAATATATGGGAGTTTGGTCATACAGCCCACCCATAGTCCAGACATGTGTTCGGCAGACGCTACACAGATTCTTAGGTGTAGGAAAAACCTCTTGTTTCATTTTAAAAAGGCACATCTGTTTTGCTCACTGCTGATGATAGAACTTTCTAACAAGCTCATCCCAACTTAAATTATCCTGTAATTCTCCAATCAGTGGATGCAAGGCCATTACAACAGACAAGACATTCCTCAAAGGATTTGCTTGGTATACTTTACAGAAATGCACACAATAACTCTTATTTCTGGCGCCATTATTTCAGAGTAGCGATTTCAGTAAACATGTCAAGAGGTATATTCATCCGATCTCTGAATTCACACTGTCAAACAATCACTGAGACGACCTCAATCAGAGTCACAAAAAACCCCAATGGCGTATTCAGGTGATGGACTGGAACTTTCGCTTGCAAAAACAAACATTTATATCCCCCAACGTCAACTACACATCCTGCCCCAGTGAAGGTATTTGAGACCACATGTGCCGTCTGGTGACTTCCAGGTGAATAAATATCACTAATTATCCCAAACAAACAGTTTAATAAAGGTTGGCTTTTAGAGCTCTGATTTGCGAAATCAGACCTGCATGACCTCAACCACTTAAGCTAAACTCACAGTCATAATTAGAAGACTTTCTCCATAACATTTATGTTCACTTGAACCCGGTTACTTGATGATACAGAGTGAGCTCAGTTGAATTTATGCAATATGTCCTAATGTATCTGTTTCACAATCATTTAAGCTGAGTTACCCGGCAAAGTGCATTAGTGTAATACAGTCAGAGGTGTACCAATCAAAGATTGTTCCTTTGCTCCAGTTTCTCAGTTTCTTTGATGAGTTCAGTATGTTTTATTTTAAAGAAAACATCTTAATGGGACCTGAACATACATCTGAAGCTTGTGCTTGTCACTTAATCATTCTCTAATATTTGTTTACCTGATTACCAAACCATGAGGACAAACATCTCACACTTATAGGTGAGTAAAACAAAGTGGAAAACTTGAGAACTCAAACATATTCTCTCAATGAATTTATATTGTTCCTGTAGCTCAGTCAGTAGTGTGTGGCACTAGCAGTGCTAATGTCATGGGTTTGATTCCCAAGAAATGCATGAACCGATAAAAAAAGTGCATTTGAATACAATGTAAATTGCTTAAGATAAAGGTGCCTTCCAGATACATGCAATTTATAATTACATTATTACAAATAACATATGCTGCATCTCATCAATAAATAACGCATTATGACTGCATATTTTTGAGTTATTGTTATTTTTTTTTTTTTTACATTAGACCTCAGGAGAAACTTTAGTTTAAAATTTAACAGTAGATGTCCCCAAATGTCACAAAATTATCGCATAGGCCTATCGGAAATGTGCGCTGTGATTTCAGTAAATCTGCAAGGCGCAGTGGAAAAGCAAACAACCCCGATGGAAATATCGACGGTCTGAGATGATAGCTACTCTCTCCTGTTAGCGCTCAGTTTTCAAATCTTAACTGCAGATTAGCATGCGAAGTTAAAGGAACAGTTCACCCAAAATGCAAATTCTGTCATCATTTGACAGTTTCTTCGGCAGAACACAAACGGAGACGTTAGGGAGACTCAGTCACCATTTACTTTATTTGTACGGAAAAAGATGTAATGAAAGTGAATGGGGACTGAGGCTGTTAGTCTAGTCATTCTGTGTATACAGGAGAGAGAAAGTCAATACAGATCTTAAACAATATAATGGTGAGTGAATGATGGCAGAATTTGCCATTTGGGGGGAACTATCCCTTTAAAACATACAAATGAATGCGTAAACTGTGAATTTAAAAAGGCTGTATATATAAAATACCTCTCATGTTGTGGATTTTGACCATGACCTCGGCTGTTGACATCAAACGAAACGCCAAGTACACGCGTCCGGAGTCTCTTTCTATCTGGACCGGTGAGTTCCCGTCCGAAACCACCTCGAACCATTTCTTCTCGAACTTCTGGTCCGGTACCGTAAAGATCAAGCCTCCGACTTTGACATCTTCAGAAACTGTAATGGTATAGGATACTTTTTCAGAAACGGTTCTTGGCTTCCTAACTCGGCTTTCAGCATCGGTAAGAATCTCTATACTGTCAGTTGTTGCGTTAACATGTCGCTTATCGGTGTTTTGATCAAGTATCTCGATCTTAACTGTCACTTCTTCGGCTGTTATATTGCAGCGCGGCAAGCGCGCGCTCACTGTAAATCTCGAGTTGGAATCCCTGTCAAAAGTTTTGGTGGTTTTTAAAACGAATCCTGAGTTGTTCAGATATTCAAGTGAAAAATCCGACGAGTCCTCCCCTGTTAAAACTGTTTTAAATCCAACCATGTTTAATTCATTGCATTTGTCTCCCAGAGGAAAAAGAAACCCATCGACAACAGTTCCAGGAGGTGCGCCTTCCTCAATTTGTCCATAAAAAACAGCCGAATGCACATTAGAAATGGTAAGAAAAATAATTAAAAAACATGCGGTAGGAAATCTGAAGAAAGTCGGGTTCCGTAAATGCGCCCTCATTATTCCATCAATTCTGCCACTCTGTCTATCCTTAAAATCTGACTGTTATCCCTTATGCATCAATAACATGCTACAAATGTAGCCCAAACCACCACTGAAAAAGATAAATAAACTATTTGCACACTATCTGCATTGTAAGTTTTCAATACAAGATGTCAATATATTGTGTGTAGCTCCTCGTCCGGCATCATTCAACCGCTCACTTCTTCCCTCATCCACCGATACACAGCATCTCCATGTGGTACCCGGGGCCCCGCCTTCAAAATGATAGCCAATCAAAGTGACGGAAGGGTTGGACTAGATGTATAGACCCTCCTACTAAATTTAAATAAATATGCATCTTTCACCATGCAGTCACCAAGCGAACGTTTGCAGGGTGGGATGCAGTTTAAATAGATGAATGGCTTTTTTAATAATTTCAGACTGAGCTTTTTTATTTATTTATTTATTTTTTACTTTTTCAGTAGCCTAAGTGTTTTTTTTTGTTTGTTTGTTTTTTGGAAAGAGATTAGTAATTTTATTCAGCAAGGACACATTTGTCAGGAAAAACTTTAAATTGTTACAAAAATGTCTATTTCAAATAAATGCTGCTCTTTTGAAATTTCTATTTTTTAAGTATCCTGGAAATGTTTTTTTATCACAGTTTCCACAAAAATAAATAAATAATATTAAGTAGATTTTTTTTTAACATTGATAAGAAGACATGTTTCTTCAACATCAAATTAGTATATTAGAACGATTTCTGAAGGATCGCATTACACTGAAGACTGGATTAATGATGCTGAAAATTCAGCTTTGTCATTACAGAAGGCTTGTTATTAAAGAACACATTATTTTAAAATAGCGTATCAGAGATCAGTGTATATCCAGTGTCTTGAGAAACAACAGAAATGCAATCAATTGTCTGGATTGCGACGTGTGACAGAATAATGCTTAATTCATAGAAATTTCCCAGAATGCTACAGACGTGTAGTACATTTTTATTTAATCTAACTGTGAACATTTTCCAAATTCCTTCTTTATCCAAAGACTGATGTGCTAAACACCACATTTGACAAGTGCCTGCTGGGTAACTCACTGCCCTACAAAAGGCAAAACATTGTAACTACACATTTTCTACAACTGAACTGTGATGAAATCCCAGAATTTGCATAAATAAAGCTACTATGTTGTGCCTTAAGAAGTAGTCTGACCAAGTAGCAGTTAGACAGGGGGTCTTACTTTTCGGATTAAATTTAGGCCATTTATGTTTTATGTAAATGTTTAAAAAAAGGTTATGACCAGTTTTATTGAAATTATATGACTTATAAGACTAAGTCTAAGCAGTTTATGTAACTGGTCACAACAGGTCTTTTAGACTATAATCTGTCCCGTGATAGACAGCTTTAGCTCAACTATTCTCAGATCCAAAGATAATGGAGTGTGAAATTTGATATCAAATTAATCAAAATGTAATCCAAAACTTTCAAGAACTTTTTTCTTATTTCAGTTTTGGCATAGTTACTGCATTTTTGCTTTGTTAGGTGGCATATTGCCTCTGAAAGACAGGGGATCAAGGTTTGGTTGGTTATCTTTAGCAGCCTTGCTGCAGACTCCATAACTATATCACTCCTCTCTCAGTGTCATCTGACTGATGGATTCTGTTTGAGGCACAATGGACACTCACAGACAGGTGAGATCAAAACAAATCAGCCTGTGACATCAAATATCCTAGGACCGAGCTAGAGAATATTTTATTTCCTATGTTAACAAATGGAACCGTTTTTTATTGCAAACAAAATCTTTTTTTTGGGGGGGCATGAGGTCAATTCACGATTGCACACTACTGATCATAACTATTTTCCTATTAAACCACATTTCATTGTTTTCCCTTTCATTCTTTTCAGTTTGATAATTAGTGCTACTCTGTAAGTGCTGGGTATTCCATGATGTTCCATGATAGAAATGCATAATGGGCACATACTGCATGTATTGTCCATTTTGTCAAGGTAAGGAGATTAATAGGATGGGCCCGATTCCAGTCTCTTTCTTTTGTTAAGTAACAATATTATTCAAATCAAAATGCTTTTCAAATGGAAATGAAATTAACTGATATGAGTGCTATTGTGGACTCTATAGTGGGAGATTCATTACAGAGAATTTTTCTGCTCAGCTCTGTGTGGATGTGCAAAGAAAATTATTGTCAATTTTAAGGTTTTGAAGTCATTCTCAGTTAATTGTTGCTGCAGAAATATAAAATTGTCAAGGCTTTTTATCACTGCAAGGAATACATTAACAATTCAGTCATTATTTACTCCTATGTTGTTTCAATCCTGTAGATTTTCTTTGTTCTGTTGAACACAAATGGAGAAGCTTTGGAGAATGTTTGTGTTCCTCTCTAGGCTAGGTGACTCTTATAGGCTGGATCTTTTTTGGTGAATCAGAGGCTACATCCACATTAATCCGGCTACATTTGAAAACAGAGTTTATGTATAAAACTAAGCACTCTCCATCCACACTAGCATTTTTAAGCATTTTACAAAAGTTGCTCATCCACACTGAGATGTCTGAAAACACTGAAATCACGTTTCTTCGCATATGTAAAATGTCATAAACGCTCAATGAGACACAACAGGCACAGCAATGATGGCACAACCGTAGATATTTATTGGTACAATATGCGTCACATGACTAAACATGAGTCATGGGTTTCAATAAAATCGAATCAGCATCTGAACTGAATTGGGAAATGTGTATCGATACCCAGCCCTTCTTCTCTCTTCCAGACACTGTCATATGGATTTGAAATGATATAAGGAAGCATAAACAATGACCAAATTCTGATTTCAGGTGAACTATTCCTTTAATGTCTCTTGAGAGACAGTCTCGTATGATGGTACAGTGCACGTGTCCATATTGCGCTCAGATGTGCGCTCAACCTTTGTCAATTGTGATGAATGAGCACAGTGCCAAAGATGAGGCAAGGCGGAAAAACAAAAGATCCACACATGGGAATATTTATCCTCATTCCCATCAGCTCAACATATGCCTCACCTTGTCATACCTACCGTAATCATTCCCACAATACAGAGTACTGTATATACAAGATATGACATGACATAACCTCTCAGAAATATGTTAATAATACTACCTCAATTTCCCTCTTTGAAATTTCTTTGCTTGATTTCGGGAGAAAGAACCATCTGAATGCTGCGGTGTGCTCAGAAAGCTATAGCTGAAAGATGTGCGCATGCTTTAAATGGATTAAAGCAATCACCTGCACATTTCTCTAAAGTCAAATAGACTTGTTTAAGCATGAAAGCCCCCGCAGCAGCCCGCCTCCTCCTCACCACCTCTCTTTGAGAAGCATAAAACACAAATTACAGCAATTTACCCCAAGAGGCAGTGTGTGCGTGTGACAGCCGAATGGGTTTCGAGTTGACGGTGTCGAATGTCGTGTCACAGCCACTCACACCAGTCTTTCATCATATTTTGGCATGCCTCTCTGTGGAAAAAGTGACAGGAATGGAGAGGGAAAGACGGCAATCTCACAAACCTTGAGTTTCTCCGTCAAAGGTCACCAGAACTGACAAGAATTCTCTCTCTCGCCATCACTGGCTTGTTTCCTCCTCATTTCCATCTATACTCTCTCTCTCTTCTCTTTCCATCCCTTATGTGCTCTCTCTTTAATCTGAGAACTGACAGTCAAATGAATGCCAGGTGGATTTCTTTTGCCTCCACCCCTGTTGTATCACAGACAGAGAAAGAATTATTCAACAGTGAGAGTAGCCCTGCTTGTCCATCTCCTCTCTCTATGCACAGAATCAGCCTCTGTTCTCCTGTCTGGTGTATCAGATTGCTGACTGGTTCCTCATATGCTCACTGACAGAAAGGCAGGCATGTGGGACGGTCCCCGGGCCCGTCCCTGCAACTCTAGTGATAACATCTTAAATCAGAGTCTGCAGAGCTGCTTCTCTCTGTCACATCGTCCTCCTACCAGCACTTCCAAATCCATCTCCTGCATTCTTTTCCTCCTCGGGGTTCATCCCATCATTACAGCATCTGCATTGTTCTCTCTTGTGGAAACGCATGTTCATTACAACTTTCTACAGTACAGTTTTACCTTACAGTTGGCTCATTTCTTGAAGGGTTCTTGATCATTGCGTTCAAAATACAGACAATCAAAATATAAGGAATACAGCAATATTAAAATTCTGGCCAATAGGATAAGCTGACAATTTGTATATTGTGGCCGATAACTGATAATAACTTAAAATTAGCTAATATTAAAATATTAAAACTGATATTAAACCCATATTAGCTGATTTTAAAAACTATTTTGTCTAAATATTTTTTTTTTTTTAACTTAACAATAAAAGCAATCATTTTAAATGCTACAAGTGATTTTAGGCAGTACAACATTATAATATACAGTATGAAAAATTTATATTAATTTTGAAATTTGCTAAAGATTATATTTAACAGTGATAATTTATTAGTACTGATTAAAAAAAGAACATCAGCTGAAATTCAGCTCTGGTATTCAATATGGAATAATATATATTGTGCATGCCAACAAAAATTATAGAAACAATCATTGTAGACTTTGGTATCTTGGCAAATCTGAGCACAGTTTGGATCTGAAGTTAGAAAAACATTTGAAATTGCTTATAGCACCTTTAAAGTGTGTAATCTTTTGTTATTAAAATACTGTTCTATCCCAGCTAAATATGTAGAGAAAATAGTAACTCATCCATCTGTAGGTCAGTCCCCCAAAATCTGTAAATGTTGTGGCTTTGTAGCACTTTTAAGGTTTGGAGGTCTATACCTGAAAACCACTTTTCATTTAGGAAAAAAAAAATACAAATATCAGGACACACATTTTTGAATGGCTGTCAAAGGATACACTTTTGTTGGCCCAGTTTGTGTAATTACAGCATTTACCAGCAGGGGCTAACCAGCCAAAACTTGGTTTGAGCATACGAACCAGTCAAACTCAGAAACATTCGCTCCAAAAATGGTTCAAGTTTGGTCCAAGACTCCCTGTTTGTCTGGTCAATGGAAGGCAAGGAAATGTTTGAGAAATATATTTGAAAACAATTGTTATCCAGAAATTCTACAAAAGTCTCTATTTGCTCTACATTAAACAAGTGATATTGTATATTAAAGAGATCTACTGTGCTCTTTGAGGTCTGGGACTGACAGGTAGATAGATAT